TGATGTTACCTAGTTGGGTAATGAAATGTCTGCAAGCAAACAACCAAGCTCAGAGAGCATCGAGAGTATCTTTAAAAAAAAAAAAAAAAAAAAAGCCCTCCCTGAACTTTATCAAGTTGGATCATTCCTGGCCAGTCTCCCAATATTCCATTTTTGGGCAAAGTGCTGTAATTTTGCTGGTGTTCAAGCTCCAGTTTAACATTTCTGGATTATGTCAATTGCCTACCTAAATTCCAATTTGTCTTGGAGTTTGGCTGTGGGATAGAGACAGCTTTGGTCTCATACCAGGAAACTGACAAGGAAAAGGCATCCCAGCTGGTTCTGATAGATTTCTTAGCAACTTTCAATACCATGAAACATTTTATGGGAGTATCTGCCCCATATATTGGATACATTTGCTTATATCAAAAACAATGTCCCTTACTTATGTTTAATCAGTAAATTTGTATACAATATATATGCAGGACCCTAGTGTCTTCTTTCCAAATGAAATCAAACCCAACTAAGTGTAATACCTGTATGACTTCCAGATGGGGGAAACAAACCTATTACTGTACAGTATATGTGAATAAAATAGGGTTCAGATGAGATGAGACTGATGTCATTGTGTTCTTTCCATGTGAGTGTACTGCTTCTCCTAATCATGGAGCAGTGTAATCTGGATTGAACTGAATATTTAGAGGTGAAAAAAAAAATAGATGGATTAATGTCTGAACAGAAAATGTCTGTGGTCATATAACAAAATAAATACAAGTGAGTATGCTAATTCAAATATGATTTAAAGTAATGGAAGCAGAATACTGAAAATAAATACCTGCTTAAATATGAAACTGCAGTGGAACGGTACAAATTTGTACTATATAAATGGTAATATAGTACGAATCCTCCTTAATGTTGGTTACGGAATATAAAAAGGTTTACTGTTCAATGGAATACAGGAATAATACTTTGGTTATATTACTAATTCAGTTTTTTTTTTTTAATCCGCACTCAATCATTACCGATTCTGCGGCGACCGCCTGGACGAGTCCCTGCAGTTTTCAAGGCAAGGCGTTTCGGAAGTGGTTTGCCCTTGCCTCCTTCCTAGAGCAGAGCCCAGCTGGCGAGCGCAGGAGGCGAGGTTTCCGTTGCTTCGCACCTTTTTCAGGCGTGCGTGGCTTCCGCGTTACCAGCAACTGGTCCCCGTCTCCTGTGCAAGCGCCGCATTTTCCTCCCACCGGGGTGAGAGTACCCATTTATCTACTCACGTCAGTTTTTGAGCTGCTGGGTTGTCAGAAGCTGGTGATGAGACAGAAGTTCACTCTGCTGCTCGGAGCTTGGCTTATAT